TATATCATTAAATAATTAATTAAATGTGTCAATAATTAATTAATTAAATGTGTCAATAATTAATTAATTACATGTGTCATAACTATTTATTTAATTAATTAATTCCAATTTTAATTAATTATTGACACATTTAATTAATTATTTAATGGTGTATTTAATTAATTCATTATAGCAGTCCTGGCACTCCATATTATGGAAACTCAGCATTAATGTCACAATATTAGACAGTTGGGTTCCTCGTACCTGACCCTTTGATCAAAACTTGACTTTTTTCAATATTAATACATCTGCTTTTGATAATGTGTGAGTGAATGTATCAATGTGTAATTCTTAGTAAATCGGTAATCATTTTATACAAAGATTTATTTATGTATCTTTTTGGCATATCAAAGGACACTAAGTAAGAAATATCAGTCATTATCAGTCACAAAGTCCCACCCCTTCAGAACCTTTTTTTCCCAAAAGGGAAATGCTTGTGGTTTCACTGTTACTTGTTCACATTCTAAGCTGCAGCTTTCATCAGATACAAACTTTCTGCCAAAGATGAGGGATTTTCTGACTAATTTTCCCTTTAGGGCTCTCAGCATTTTTGTTACCATCGTTGGCAGTTTTACTTACAATATTTTACTTGAGCGTGATATACAATGCACGTGCAAAGATGTAGCTCTAGACTGCAGCACATACATGCTCATACCATTTTGCATTATATTTTTCTTAATACTTTGGACAGACAAGACATTACAGAGGACCTGCAAGTATACATGTGTGTGTGAATGTAACAATCAGGAGCAACAGAACCAGCAATGTGTCAGGACACAATTATGTGGCGTTTTCTGGAGTCGAATTTTCAAGGCATTTTCTGTTGGTGTGCTATGGGTCGTCTCTGTGCTCGTTGATGGAGACTGGTACGTTTGCTGCGAGAGTGAAACAGAGAAATCACAGTTAGCCTGCAAAGATAAAACCAACATCACAGCTGAGGAAAATGTGATGATCAATTCCCTGAAAAACACATCAAGGGTGAGTTTTTCCTTTTGTTGTTCTTGTTTTTTCTCTCATCTGCAGCATTTAATTTTGTTTTGTGTTAGTCTAACTGATCTTTGATGATTCCTTTTCAGCTTATTGGATTCTCAGTGCTCTTGGGTATTGTTTTTCTGGTGGCCCTGATGTCACTGTGGTGTGATTGCTGTAAATGCTATGTTTGCTGTAAATGCTGTTGTAGCAGAAGAGCTGTTTATGACAGAGTGATCTTGGAACAGCAAGAAGAGGTACTGAAAGAGACTTTCAGAGAAGCTGCAAAAGAACAGTTGACCAAACGCATCTTTGAGAAAATAGATGGAAATGCAGCTGATGCGCAACCTGCAGCGCAACCTCCAGTGCAACCTCCAGTGCAACTTCCAGTGCAACCTCCAGTGCAAGATCAATGGATAAAAGATCTTAGAAATATCGCTGCAAAAATGATTGAAGACTCAGAAAAACCAGTACTTTCTAAAGAACAAAAAAAAAAAGTAGAATGCCATACAGGAGGATCCACAGGCACAGGGGAGCAGCAAGTTGAAGATGGCTGACTGTTTCTGACCTGACGAGTCTGCTGCAAAAGAAAAAAAAGAAAAAAATTGAAAAGAAAAAAAAAACACAGTTTATCAATGGTTTGCTGAAATCAACTTAAAAATTTCAAGCTCATTGACAAAAATCTATCTTTTCCCTTTGAATGAGTTACTTCTTCTTTCCACTCCTGTACAGAGTTACATCAACTGCATCTATCTATCTATCTATGTATACATATATATATATGTATATATATGTATATGTATATATATATATATATATATCTATATATATATATATGTATATATGTGTATGTATATATGTGTGTATATATGTGTATGTATATATGTGTGTATATATGTGTATGTATATATATGTGTGTATATGTGTATATGTATATGTGTGTATATATATGTATGTGTGTATATATATGTGTGTATAAGGAGATTATTTATTTATTCATTTTTTCTTGCTGTTGTTTTTTTCCCCTTTTATAGCTTTTCTGTTTTTTTCTAGTTTCAGTCACTTGTAGGTAGGTTATAGGTAAGCACACAGTTGTTGTTGCTGTTTTGCTTTACCACTGTGCTTAATAAATGAATATGGTAAAATTGTTTGTGTGGAATTATTCCCTTCTTTGTTGTCTAAGGAGCTTGGAAAGAAAACCGTCTGGACTTTTCTAAGTTGCTTGAAGACGTTTCACCTCTCATCCGAGAAGCTTCTTCAGTCATAACTTATCCATGCCTTCGTTACTTCAAGATTAGACTACTGCAACTCCCTTTACCTGGGCTTCCAATCTGTCCTTCTACATAAACTACAACTTGTCCAAAATGCAGCGGTACGCCTTTTAACTGGTACTAGAAGATTTGATTCTTTTACCTTGATCCTTGCTGACCTACATTGGCTGCCCATCAAATATCGGATTAATTTTAAGATTTTATTGCTTACATTCAAAATCGTAAATAATATTGCACCATGCTATTTAACTGAACTTCTCAGCCTGTATACTCCTAGGAGAGCACTTCGATCATCGAGTCAAATGCTCTTGGTGCAACCTTGGTCCCAGGTGAAAGCCAGAGGGGATCGTGCCTTTGCCATTAGTAGTAATATACCTGTTTTTTTTGACCCCCCACAGCCCGACTCTCCCCCCCCCCCAGCCTACCTTCCCACCCCTACCCCCTCCCCGAGTTTCCCCCTCCCGCGTCCATGTGCGTGTGCACGTGCGCGAGAACGGACTTTTTGCACGTGCAGTGGTGTCCAGGGGTCATATGAGTTTACATGTGTTTAATAGCGTATTATTTAATGAAACCATTATGTGTTTTAATTAAACTCTTTTTAAAGGATTGTATAGGTCTCAGAGTTCTGTTATTTAGACATAGGTGATTTAATTTAACTACTTTAGGGGTATTTTAACTAGTTAGGAGCCTTTTGCATTTTCTTCAGTGCTATTTAGGAGCAAATAGTTTTCAAACAGAGGGCCGCAAATAACAGGTATCCCTTTAGAAATAAACAGTGATACTTCTAAAACGTGTATTCCAACATTATTTCTAGTTAGGTCACTTTTATGTCACAGGCTATGTTTTAATGAGCACACACCATGCCCTTAGAAATAACGTGATATTCAAGCATATTCACACTAGCGCGAAACCATGCTAGCAACTCTTATAATTATCTACTAGTCTGCAACAGTTAGACTCGATGATTACACATAGATGATTTAACTACTTTAGGGGCATTTCACTTTTCTAAAAGTTTCACAGG